ACCGTTTATTGAATACCGTAGTACAGTAGCGTAACCTGGGCTCGCAAACAAGTTAACCAAATAATGAAGTTTACTTGAAATTGTAAAAAAATACATTACAACAAAATAAGATAATTACAAAAATATATATTACGACTTAACAAAAAATTATTGATTGGATTTGTTCTATTTGGAATTAGCAAAATAAATAGGTTGGTTTAACGTATGTATTGTTCACCAAGTGGACGAGAAACCACAATGTAAAAAAAATTAAACTAAATCAATATTAGTACTGTATCACCAAATTCTCTTAGATCTAGTTAAATCAGCTGTGTGGCAGAGATTAATCTTTGTACTTAATGCAAAAAGAGTTTTCTCTGCGACATCCTGTTTAACTTATCTTTACGTTGTCATTTTAAAGCCAATGATATAGCGCAGAAGCAGATGGTAATTAAAAAGGTAACACTTCTACAATGTCTGGAATAATATCTCTGCAAAGACAGGTTTTTTTAGAGCTTCTAAAGGTTGCTTTCAAAGGTCCACCGACCAACTTAATTTATAACAGTTTTAAACTAGAATTGTAATTTATTTATTTATTCCTATTGTCTGACTGTCTCAAACAAAAATGTTAATTTAATGCGATGATTTTTTAAAATTAAATTTGAACAGTAGGTTATTAAAATGTGCCATGTGTGCATGGTTCTCTCGAATATCTTTTTTATAAGTCTAACTTAATTCTACATTTTAATAAAAATTTGATCGATGAAGTGGAATTAACAATCCAAAGCAGATTAAAGTGATAATTTACACCATAGACAATGCAATGCCTTTGGCAAAATCCTTTTGAAAAAAAATTATTTCTGTGTGGATGATTGTTCTAACTATATATATAACAAAATCATTCAAAAACTCACGGCATATAAAATGGCTATTGAGTCAACTCTGAAAATTTTTTAGTCTCCACAATAAATACAATATTTATCATACAAAAAATATTTAATGTGTAGCAATAAATGTACAACAAAAATTGTGTATTTATTTTCATGCACAAAAATTATTAAGTTAACTACTTCTAATACCAGAGAATCCGCCGTAGACAATACTAAACAATGCAACGCAACAACTTGAATCATTTAAACTAAAATTAGTTTTGCGCTGAGGCCCCTTAATTATACAGCCACAGAAAACTCAAATAAAAATGTAGGTGTCTGAAAATAGCTGAAATTATAATATTTTGCTGTTTTAAAAATATTTAAAACTATCAGATTGAACCAACAATCTATAAATAGTTTACAACTCTTGACCATTATACATCGATGCTCTTGACATATTCAAAGCAACGTTGGCGCTGACAAATTGCAGTAACATAACGAAAATAAAAGATTTCACATCTCAGAAATAAAGGATGTGTGGGTTCATTTAATGAACAGGTTCATGGAATTACATCAGCCTTTATCTCAAATAAGATATTTTAGATTATTCACTGAGAACGCTAATTTTAGGTTTGGATAAATACTATTTTAGGTTTTGAGAACCTGTTCAATACCTCCACGTGCTTTTATGAGTATATACTTACTTATTTACATGTTGTGAGATTAAATTGTGCCTCCCACGATACAAAATTTTTATTTTCCTTTTGTAAATGTGATGTGTGCTTAATGTTACAACACAATTTCATTTTAAAATAATTCTTTTCCTTACTATTGTTGTAAAATAAGCAATTTTAAATAATTGACACTAAAAATAATACTTATATATTTTAATATTAAAACAAAAGTAACTATTTTGATGTTGATGTTTGATAAAATAATCTTTTATTAACATTTTTAATGGGGTTATTCGTTTTAAAAGGGCATGTAAACAATTAATACTTACGAGGTTTCCTCCTTCTTTAATGGAAGCAAAGAAACATTTAAAATATTTATATCACATAACTAAGCAAATGAAAAATTATTAGTTTTGAAAAAGTAGACTACTTTCATCAAATCACATTGAAAAATCAGTATTGCACACTGCACAGTACCAGTTTGAATAAACTTGATATAATTTTGGATCTTGCGAAAGTCGCTTGTCACCCATTTGCAAATGTGCTCCATATGCGGTTTCTAATGATATGTCAGTTATTCAAGCGGGTGATACCACCGCATATTACCGTTCTGCTATCTCAAGTACATAATTTTACTTCCCAAGTTAAACTGCATTAATCACCTACTCAATCCTGTTTAGTGTTTTGTTGTAGTTGCTAACATTCTTTTACAACTCATTGCTGAAAAGCTTGAACATTCCGACAGAAAGATTTGTTGTAGTACATTGTTGTAGTGTTCTGGATTACTGCATTGTTGTCGTGTTGGTATTGTTTAGTGTCGGAAGATGTGTTGGAAGACTTGTGTTAATCTCCTCGCTCTTGTCTAATGTAATTGCCGTCTTGTGGTACACTTTAATCCGCCCTGACACCGATATTGTCTTAGCGCTTAAGTTTGGATATAAGGATAACAGGATGAAAGACATTTTGCGTAATTACTTAATTGTTTATCGACCTTTTCAGTTTCAGTGTTTTAAAAGATTATTATACAAAATTCACAGGAAACTGTGATTTTGGAATATATATATATTTTTTACAAAATACATGCTATTTTTCACACATTTAAATCTCATCAGGCTCTGGGAAAATCTTGTTTGTTGTAGGAAGGAGTTGTATGATTCCGTTTGCTATTTTTTTGTAAACTCTTCCTAGGAAGTCTTAAAACGATTCCCTCTTTTTTTAGACCATCTCTCACACTCACCATGAAAAAAAAAAAATTTTTGCACAGAGTAATTTGAAAAATGCACTGATTTCTTTTTCAATTTAAACTATGTTCGCTGGTTTTTTTATAGCTTAATATGAATCGTAATATGTTCACAGTAAACAATCTTTAAATGAATAAGGCTTGTAGGCTGGGCTTAGCCGTACATGAAAGATATTTTGTATACAGTTTTTTTTTTCAAATTGGGACGAATACCATTTATGAAACATATTTTTGGATATTAAGTAACAACAGTAGGTTATCGGATAACATGATATGTGAGCATGTTGTTTTGATGACTAATTAACTAACTTTTAAAAACAAGTAACAAGTAATTGTACTCTTCAAACTATTTGTACATAGTGCATGTAAAAATCTAAAATAATAATTTATAATTATAGTATTAATAATTAGCAAGATTTTATACAAAAAATAAATGAAAAATATTTACTTAGCTATACATCAGGCTATAACAAATTTTGCTAAGCCTACTAATTTACTAATAGAATCAATTAAAATCAAATAATAACTAATTGTAATTTGAATGTGCATGGATTTGATATAAAATCATCTGTATCATACAGCTAATTCAATAGGAAGACTACAGTACAGAAATAGAAAAATTGTACACTATTACTATGCATTTACTATGTGCTATCACTATGTACTTTAAACCTACGTTTTATTTCATAGAAAATCTACGCTTACTGTTGAAAGATATTTTCCTGTAGATATGCAGAATCCCTCTATAAATTAAAATGGGTTCAAAAATAAGCACAAAAATTAATTTAAAATTAAAAAAAAAAATACATGGGTCTTGTGGGTTGCTATGCTGGTGATGAAATAACTACAAATTATAATTAGAAAATCAAAACGAATCAAAGAAATTCAGAAATCAGAAAATCAGATAATCTTCCAAATCTTCAAATTCCAATCACATGTTTTATTTACAGTGTAAAAATAGACAAGTCTGTACATTACATATTTTTGGTCGAGTTTTCAACCACTGGACGACCTGTAGTATTAATAATTACACAGTAAGTGTAAAACAATCGTTTTAATAATACTTTTTAATTTGTCAAAATTCCCCTTGGAAGTTGCTTTTGTTTTCCTAGGTTTTAGTTTTTTAGATTAACATTTTTGTTAAAAGTTAACGGTGATTGATGTATTTTTTAAACTGTTGACATCAATATTTATGTAAATGGCAAAACAACTTTGATGATCATGTGAATATTTAATCAATTACATTTGAAAATTGGCCCCTTTTGTCGTAGCCACTGGAGCAATCGGGTTATACAACAATTCTCCTCCGCTCTTTTCCCTCCAAACTCCCTCTTTAGATAGGTAATTCACTCAAGGTGTATATAGAGTGTATATAGCATTTTTATAATGTATGCCTACTGTACATGTTTTAGAAAACTTCTCCATAGCAGGCGTTTTACGTAGTTACCTAGCGAATAGTGTCATTTTGACTACTAAATAACAGCTTAGTAGCATTGTAGCCTATTTAGTTTTTACTGAAGCAACTAGTTCTTAGTAAAGTATTTCACATAGCTGTTGCTAATTGCTTTATATTCTTAGTCTTGCTTTTTATTATGATTTATTACTTCTTTTATAACTGTGATAGTGTAATGGGCCACCTTGACTCATCTTGGGGTTTTCCCATATTTTATGATTTGGTATCATTATTTTTTTTTTTTTTTTGTATTCCTACAATATGCCCTATACAGTTTCTCACTGTAAACATATTATCTCCAAGTAAAATACGACCAAGATCTCTATCTCATTGATTACACTTTTTTTTTACGGTAGCTTTGATTCAGTTTATAGGTGAAATTATGAAAATTCTGTATAAAATTGAGTTTCTTACTGATTCCAAGAATGTGTTGTATTATTTGTTATGAAGAACAGGATACTTCTTCAAAACTTCTCATTGTGAGATTAATATATTCTAAACAATAAAAAAATAATCGTTTAAGAATCTATGTGAAGATAGCAGGATTACTTGAGAAAGAGTCTGTTCTAAACCAAGAAACACATAAACTTTGCAACTACATAAAATTAGAATATTTACCTTTTATGAAGGTTTTATGGGCTTCCGCACCGCAGAAAAGCATGTGGATTCATGAGTCCAGGTGGTTTTTAGTGCATGCAATTTTATTGGCCGATGTTTATTTGCCTCTTCTGTTGTCTGTTTGTTTGCGCATGGTTGTCTCCGTGGGATGTCGGACGTCGCAGTCGTCACCTCGTTGTATGTTACAGTCAAGTACCTGCGGGAAGTCACCCCTTACTTCCGCAAGGCCAGCATCATCAGCGAGGTCGGGTGGGAGCTACAGAGGGGGTTCCTCAGCGGCGCTCCTCCTTCCCCCTCGCCGCACTCGCCCCAGCGCGCTGACACACGCTACCTGCCTCTACAGCTGTGCTTCCTCGTCAGGAACCTGCGCCATCCGGACCCTGGTGAGTCCTGGCAAACTTAATGGGACCTCAGAAACCCAAATGAGGTTAGCTGGACAATCAGGTGAATTTAGGGATGTCAATGGGAATACAAGGTTCAAAATGTGTGATTCAATGTAATTTGCCCATTGTGTCTAAAATCTGGGTGAACGGCAGGTAATTTCTTCACGAATTGTGTAACGACAACATTTTTTCATATAGGCCTTAGCCATACAAGATTAAGGACACACAATTCTTGTCATTTGTCCATGAGGTTTAATGATGATTGGGGTGGCCAATCAAAATAAATCACCATTTACCATTTTCAATACATATTTACAGGTTTTTATATGAATTCTATTAAAATGTAACTATATTTTTAAAACCTATTGGCATTAGCAACTATCAAATATTAAAAGATTGCCAGTAATAAACAAAAATATTTTTTTAGCTTTACTTAACAATTATAAAATAAGGTAAATATGTGTTAAATATGATGAATAGGGATACAATTTAAATCTTCTATTCCTATTGGGTTGGTTTTATCCATCTTTCCCGCTATGAGCAAGTTGCCATAGCAATTGAAGTAGTTTTCCTGGAAGCCTTTATATTGAAAATAACAAAAGATTGGAAATTTCTTCTTAAGGGTTTGTTATACTTTGGAGAAAATAATACTGTAACAACTTTGATTCTAAAGTAACAAGGTATTTAACAGATCTCAAGAACAGCTTGTAACAATTGGTCGTAAATCTTTAGAAAAATGTTTTTGTTGCAAATCAGTTTGAATAAAACCTTTATAAATCAACTTTCCCTAAGTTTTAGATTTGTTGTAACAGGAATAATCTAACAAAATACGCCAGCCTGTATTCATATGGGGGTCTGAGGTTCCTACCTTTGTAGTTTATTTGTAGTGCATGCATGGTAGTTATTGAAAAAAGCTTCTTTTCTTAAACTATGTGTTGTTTTTAAGTTAAAAAAATTAAGATAATAGGATACAATTTCTTTTCTGAACAGAGGAATAATGATGGCTACTTCATCAGAAATGGGACTGATGGAAATTAAATTGTTACCAAATTCAGATATGTTCAAGGATTTCAGTAGTTTCTCAAATAGATATGTTACATACCTTATGACATATAGCTTATGACAACTTTGTAATTAATTACGCTGTTTCTAATTCAGTTACGTTGGTTAAATTAGCAGGAAAAATTATCACTATTTACACCTAATGTATTTAACGTTGACTTATAAAACCCACATCAATTAATATAAACATGAACACAGTTTCATTTTCACAACTATAATGGTCTCACAACCTGAAATATTACTATTAATGGGTATAAATTTGTCGTGCTCTGGTAATAAATGCTAAAAGGCTGGCTGGAGTGGATCATTTTATCGAGGATGAGCCCTTGATCATTCCCCGTTTGTCAGGTACTCGAAGCAACAACGGCTTAACCTTTGACTACTTACTGCTGAGACGCGAGTCATCAATTTAAAGGACGGAAAAGTTTCAAGTAAAGTTTTATTTATTCATGAAAATACATTTTAGACGGATAGGAAACGTCTTTTGAACTACAAGTTATATTATCTGTAGGCCGACATATTGCGTTAACGCAGGCTTTACAATGCATTGCTGTTACATTGATTGTTTGGTTTTTTTGAGATCTTGTATATTTTCCCAAAATGTGTGGTTATGAGACAGAAATTTAACAATTCCTTTGATATAGTGTATTATACAATTTAGCTAATTTTATGCATTACAATGTTATTTTATGGCATATATCCAATATTGGTTGCAGCACAGTCCAAATTGTCTCAAATTCAACTACTTAACCGAGCGAACTTCCCATAAAGAGAATAAGCAATTACCTTAGGTCTCTCTATTACTTTTTCAATTTGAGGTCTCCAGAGACCAAAAACACCATCCATTCAAATTCATATAATATACTACTGTATATACATATAAATATTTAAATTTATCTATCCGTTAGCACGATAACTGTAATAAAAATGATCCAGATTTGATTCAATTTGGTACAAACGTGTAAACTTAAATTTATTTCATTGTGTTTGCGAACCAGAATAATCGAAGATCTACATAATATATATTGGGTAAAAATGTGATTTTCCATCTTTGACCTTCAAAAAATAAAATATTGCAATTTATTTGTAAATAATTTTTAATAGCTCAAAATAAAAAATAATTTAGTATATTGAGGCGTTATTGAATGCTAAATGGTTAAGGAGAACAATTAAAAAAAACCTTTCAATTTTAAATTCCTATGTTATTCTTATAGGGAATAAGCAAACTGTTGTAGATTGCTAATGTTGATATGTTTTGATCAAATTGGACAATTTTTTCATTTCATTATACTTTAGAGACATTTTACTTAGAGAACTCACCTTGTTACCTTCCCTGTAGCAGCAAACCTAATAACTCATTCATTCATACTAGAGGTTAAACAAAGTCTGGAGAGTTTGGACTTGTAACTCAATGTATGCTTAACGTCCGCTGTGCAGCCGATTTGTGGCCACACGTGTTTCTTTTGTAAAAATGTGTTTTAAGTGTTCCTGTACTTCGTTTGGTATTTATTGACTTTTTGATGACCTCTTCGGATTAATTGTACGTCCATTCTTCGCCTGAGGATGACACCCCGTTGACGGGTTGAAACCAGTCGCCTTTCTTTGGTGACATGATCAAATTGACGGATTAAGGTATTTTAACCTCTAGTATTTATTTTGTGACCAGGAGGCAATAAACAACAAAAATAACTTATTAAACAAAATTTGTTAAAGTCAAGAACAAATTATGCATTTAAAAGAAAATATTTGTGTGTAAATAAAATCAGCGTAATTCGCTTGTCTGCTGCAGGTTCGCTGTGACAGTGGTATTATGAATGTGCCCTAGAAAGAGTAGACTTGTCATGAAAAAACTTTTTACAGTTAATGGTTATCAGTACTTTACCACCGCTATGCTAGAGAGTGGTTGCTAATGCAGGCAACCACAACAACCACGGTAGCACCTCTGTGCTGCTTTGCTGACACTGTGATTTGTGGGCTTAGGCTCACCATTAATAATGTTTGGGCTCGAGATCATCCTACAACGTGAATTATGTAACAAAATCACTTTATATTCATGAAGTTAGTGACTTGGAAGGAACGCACACCGTTTAGTAAGTGAATATCGCCCAATATTTTGTTTTATGTTTTTAAAAATATAAAAGTATGTTTTTTTCTAGATTTGCTAACGGAAGTCTGGATGTATAGAGAATTACAGTAAATCTTTTAACAATTGTATAGTTTAAATATTTTTAATCAAGCATTTATACAATAATTATTTTATATCACATTATGAAATTAACGTTGACAATACAGTAAGGTTATAGCTAAAAATGTATATTTTTTCTGTTATTTAATAGATGGAATGAACTGTTGAAACAACTTGCGTTTTAAACCAAAGTAGAAAAATTATTGATACTGTTGAACTATATTGGCTAGGATACCAGGCTGTTTAACAACTCCTGGCTATAATTTAGTTATGAATGATTAAATACCAACATCGGCGGACTTGTAGCCAACGACATGTTGAACACAATTCATCACCAATCTATCGATGGCCAGGACTCCTCCAGATCATAAATCTACCATTGTGTTTTACCGTTCAACCAGTCGAAGCGCTGTTTCATATTCTCCCGGAGATATTTCTTGTTGATTTATGATCTTTTAAATGTACATTTTTTTTTTCGGTGAATTTCCAAGTTATCAATTTAAAGAGATGTTAAAATAAGTTAAAGTTGTTGAGACATTTCATTACAAACTGGTCAAGGGATAAGTTAAAACCCCATTAAAACTTTATTAAACTTTAACAAGCTCTTCAAAACCTAGATTAATACCTAATTACAGTCTGTATTCATAAAAAAGTTTACAAGAGATACGACCATCTTAGTACCAAATTTTGTGAGCTATTTGAATGTTTGTGCTTAAGTTTTGCACAAACTTCGGTCTAGTCGCTAATTGGTTGTAAATATCATCAGTTTGATCGTAACTTTAACTTAGATTAGGCTTTGTGTTTGAACCAAGCAGTGAAGTTTAAGGTTGTGCTAATTAAGTAAAACTTATGATAGCACGAGAGTAATTTAAACCTTAAGATATTTATGCTACATGTATTATCATAAGTAAATCTTGATCTAGTTACAAATTCTTGGAGTCCACTGAGATGAGGAGGTGAATAGAGTTGCGTTTGTATGCCACATCCATTTGCAATTTTTTTTGCATTTTATAGAAGAAAAAAAAACATAAAATACTTTAAAGGGAAATTGTTCAACCTATCGATATTTTGTGCCTGGGAATCAAAATCGTTATTTTAAAACCTAGAAGTCGGCTATCAACACGACCTAAATATTTATATTCAATATTCATATTATTCTTACAAACAATATTTTCAGTTACCAATGTTGAAGAGTGTTAAACAGATTTTTGGGGTTTTGTTTAGAACTTTTTAGTATTCATGTGCTTTACACGTTTTTATAAAACGGAAGATTATGACTTAAACAAAATTTTATTATCAACAATAATTCATTCAAGTGGCAGTGTTAACTTTGAAAGAAATGTTGGCGAACTTTTTTTGTATTATAGAAAAATACTTTATACTTTAATACTTTCTTATGAAATATGTTTCATACTGGTGCACCAACTTGAGAAACCTCATATAGTTTTGAAACACAACACTTCTTAGTAACTCTATGAAAATTACAACACATTGATCAAACAAGTACTATTGAAATAATATTTATAACCTTAAAATTGTTTGTGTAGGGTGAAGGTCTTTCACTGAGTTTGTCTTATAAGCACCTCTTCTCATCAAAGATTTGTTTGGTATCAATGTGTAATAAGAAAGCATTTTAAGAGTAACCCAACTCTCTATGGTGAATAGTGGTTAAGTTTAGAGCTCCTCCCAAACAATTTCTTTATTAGTAGTTTTACCTGCGCTTCTCATCATAGTGAAAATATTTGAAGCTACG